ACATCCAAATCAAATTCAAATTGGATATGATTTAATTTCTTTGGCCTCAATTAAGGGTCCCATTTAGGCAAGCATTAAAAAACCTACTCAAAGCCTTCCCCCACTCATGATGTCGCAAGCCCCTCTCTCTCCTCTATCCTAATTATTTCCTCCCTAATTAAAGGCCCCAATTAAGGAGATAATTAATTCCTCTCTACCCTCCCTTTTTTTTTTTAATTTCAAATTCAAATTCATTAATTAAGGGAAATCTAAGATGGAATTTAAACTCTTTAATTGTATTACCCTCGCCGCTCCCATTTTACATCAGTTTGGTATCAGAGCATGGTTACCTGGGATGCGGAGTCGATCTCTTTTCCATTCTGGGAGAATGATGCGGACATCTGACGATGGACGTAAATCAAAAAGGCGAAGATCGACGGCGAAGATCGACGGCCAAGATCCCTCCAATTTTATCTTAGTTTATTAATTGTATTTTTTATTTAATTATACATTTTTCATTTTTACCCTTACTTAAGGGTCTTTTTTTTTGTAAGCCCAAGGAGCAAAGTTGTCTTTTAGTTTCTTTTAAGGATAGAGGCCCTTGCTCTTGTATTAGATGATGATGGAGTCTTAATAAAAAATTGTTCTGTACTTTTGCTCATTGGGAGAGCTTTAGCAAGATTCCTATGGGAGGGAATCATAGTATACACCAGCTGCAGGATGGGTCTGGACGCATGGCTTAAAATCCCTTGGTGAAGGGCAAGACATCACCCGTCAGTCGCAAGAAGCGTTCGGGCTCACGATTTTATCTTCTTCTTCTTCTTTTTTATTCTCCTTATTTTTCCTAAACCGCCACCTCCTCCTACCCTTTAACCGCAAGCTAAATCTTCCCCTAGCCGTCGGTTTTCTACCTCCCATCCTCTTCCTCACCACCGGCCACCTACCCCCTTTCCTTTTCAATCATCGGCCCTCCCCTTCCAATCGTCGGTCTCCTCCCCATCTCCATCTTCAAAGTTCAAACCACCAAAACCCATAAACCCTAACCCTAGTTCCTCTATAGCCGCTAGCCACCATTCCTCCACTAACTCCATAAATTTCTCTTGGCATTCAAAACCCATACTATTATAAATCCTCCTAATTTGGAATGATTTCAAATTCAAAATTCAAATCAATTTGAATTTGAATTTATTTCTTAATTAAGGATTCCTATTTTAGGAAAGTGCCTTAAATCACATCCAAATCAAATTCAAATTGGATATGATTTAATTTCTTTGGCCTCAATTAAGGATCCCATTTAGGCAAGCACTAAAAAACCTACTCAAAGTCTTCCCCCACTCATGATGTCATCGGCCCTCTCTCTCCTCTATCCTAATTATTTCCTTCATAATTAAAGGCCCCAATTAAGGAGATAATTAATTCCTCTCTTCCCTCCCTTCTTTTCTTGTTTGAATTTCAAATTCAAATTCATTAATTAAGGAAAATCTGAGATGGAGTTTAAGCTCTTTAATTTTATTACCCCCGCCGCTCCCGTTCTACATCATATACTCAATCATAAACGAGGGCCAACTCCACCATTCTTAACATTGTCAGTGCTTTCTCCTAAGTTTTTCAAGTAACTAAGCTCTTGCCTCCATCTAAGCTAGTGTCTAACTAGTCTACCCTTGTTATAAGGTATCATGGTGGCCAAACTAATAGTAGTTGTACTTGTAGGGGCAATGGTTTTTTTCCTTGCTCACATTATGAGCACATTAACAATCCCCCAACATAATGTTTGGCTAAGCTTAGTTATCCCTCCAATGCTCAACATGCTTCTAACTCCTCTCTCATAAACATTGGCACTTCCAACAGCCCCAAATACTTCTAGAATAGATATTTTATCTCAAAAGAAGTATAACCATCTCGTTTAGTAAATCTCAGAAATGTGTCAACTTCTCATTTTGTTTTATCATATGATTATATTATGGTTGCTGTCCGTCCCAGATACTATACTCTAGTGCAGATTCACATACGACTATTCATTTGAAGTAAAAGCCAATATTAATTATGTTATGTTTGTTGTACGTCCTAGATACTATTACTCTAGTATATCAATAAATACTGGCGTCTACTTTAAATGAATGTCAAAAATACTTTCGTATATGCCAAACTCACTTAAGTTGTAAGGAAATCGTTTGGGTGCACTCCATTAGGGAAGAACAAATTTGCATATTCAATAAAGTCATATATGGACTTAGAGAAAGTCCTCAAGCTGCGTTTGATAAACTTTACAAGGTTCTTGCAAAGGCTGGGTTTCATAACAGTTCAACAAATCATTCCATCTTCATCAGACATAATTCATTCGGTTATGTTATCTTAGCAATCTATATTGATGACATACTCCTTAGTGTGAGAGATCAAAATGGAATCACCAAAGTGAAGCATTATCTACAAAAAATAATTTTGAAGAAAGAACTACATCAACTCAAATTTTTTTTGGGCATCGAGTTAAAAGTACTACAAAATAGTTTCCTTGCCTCAAAGGAAGTATGCAATTGACCATCATAAAGAAATTGGATTGTTAGGCTGCATGCATATTGACAGCTCCCATTTAGATTAAAAAATTTATGGATAAAGAGAAAATGTTTGAAGATGTCTCTTGTTATTGACAATTGGTTGAAAAACTAATCAATCTAATTATCATCAGACTAGAGATATCATCTATTAGTGAAGCTAGCAAGTCAAAATATGCAATCTCCTAAATAGGAACATTAAGAAGTTACTAGAGATATCCTCAAATATAACAAGTCACCAAGTTACATACTTATATATATATAAAGAATGAACATTTAATATATATATATATATATATATATATATAAAGAATGAACATTTAATGTGAAAGTGTTCTCTGGCACAGTGGCACTATGTTAGGTTCATTGATGATAAAGCATTCACATACGTATAATGTATCTGTGCAAGAGACAATTTGATCACATATAAAAGCAATAAATAAAATAGAAACAAATAGTGGTGAGAGGATAAAGTGTAAAGGTGGAATACATAGCCATAACACACACTACATGTCAGAAGATGTGGGTTAAAATCCTACTAAGGGAGATTGGTTTTCCAATTTCTCAACCTCTGATCTTAAATTGTGACAATCGTTTGATATCCACATCATTAATAATTTCGCAGCAAATGTTCTTAAATTGGGAAAATTGTATTTATATCTACTTCCTTAGTAACTATGATGCATAGACATATATACGAAATGACACAGACATATTAATTAATGAAAATATGGAACACAGACACGGGCATGGGTTCGACGGAGTATTATAATTTTTATATCTTAAAGATAATGTATAAAGGCTTGATGTTGTAGTTGTTGTTGTTGTAAAGATAATGTATAAAAATTAAATAAGCAGAATATTAGGAATAATTAAAAAATAATAAGTAATTTAACAATGATTTGTGCTTAAAATGATTAAAATTATGATGTCGAAAGTTGGGGGCGGATGTCATGTCAGGCATAGATTAATTTGGTGCTATAGAGAGAAAATAAGATATTTAGTTTTTATTTTTTAAAAAATTTATAAATTATTTAAGACACGCGTGTCGGTGTCAGATGGGTATTGTGTTCGATACATGTCGGACACTACATACCTCCTTTGAGGAAAAGTGTAGGTACATCATAGGTTAGTAATCATGTGTTTTACATAAAAAAAATAACACATTGAAGTTGATTGCATTTTATTTAAGAAATGATAATATAAAATAAGATCACCCGCGTTTCAACTCAAAACTAGCATAAACTTTACAAAGGCCCAACGTTTGTTTCAATTTTCCAAGCTATGTAAATAAACTAAAGCAAATTAATATAACTGCTATAGTTTGGAGGCGAGTGTTGGAACACAGGCTTGGAAATAATAAGATATAAAGCCCTAATAAACTAAGTAGTTGTAGATATGTTCCACATGTGTTGTTATCCTCATAATGGAGGACTTTCTCTAGTTTATTGCTTGCTTTTTTATTTCCAACATACCGGCAATCTTATTAATCAATGAAATATAACAAATGGTTTCCGTCTTTTAAAAACACAATCCCAAAATAAATTTCACGAGATCATGTGATAGTTTGGATATGAATCTAAGTGTTAAACAAAAATGAATTGTATAAAAGAAATTATACAAACAGACCTATTGTAGACATATTTAAAGAAAATCAAAACAGTCGCGCACCAGCACAACTTTGTTTGATTATACAACCTTTGATATATACATAAGAATGTCGTATTGACAGCAAAACAAATTGAGAATCCATAAATTTAGGTCCTGGACTAATTTCAAATGTATGGATGAAGATCGACCTTCTTGATTCTTATTTTCATCATCCAAAGACTAAAAACGGATTGGAAATTTGTAGTACGATATGACCAGAATATATATATATATATATATATATATATATATATATATATATCTATAAAAATATATATATATATATATATATGTCAATAGAACAAAGCTCAGATATTTTCCTTAGGCTTTCGTTCAATAGGGCCTAGTTAGCTTGGCTTCGAACAACTTCAATCAAGACATGTGACCACATGCAACTATTTGGCAAAGGAAGAAATGTGGGGATTTCATCAAATGAGTTGCACTCCAACAAAATAAGATGGTTAAGGAAGATTCGCATTTAAAAATTAACAAGTAAAATATATTTCTAAGCATGAGTCAGAGCTGGGGAAAATAAAAAAAATGCCGACATTAGCACAAGGAGCAATAATTTGCAGCCTATTAAAAGATCATTACGTAAGAAGCATATTATCATGACTATGAATTTTGAAGGATACGCAAATAAAAAGATACCAGAAATAAGCTCAAGTTTCAATGTACTTCAAATCTAATATTATATCAAAATATAATTTATGATGTCAATAACAATTATGTTTTGCATTCATTAAATGTTTTTTAGGGTTCAAATAAACTTAGTATGATGAAGATTGCTAAAGAAGCATGGTAATGTGCCATGTAACTTACTTGAAATGTCTCAACTTTGTATAGTGGAAAATTTTCAGTACAGTCTCGAGCCTTGGAAGTAACTTTGTTTTGAAATACTATTATCATCCTGTACAATTTTTCTTTGCCAAACTGATTGAAAATAGCTTGTACGGTTGCCAACTTGACGGGTTCAGTCCCGCAAAAGATAACAAGAATCTGAAATGGAAAGTCAAGCTGTCATTATTAGACTAATACTTCGATAGAGCATAGAAAGACTTGAAACCAATATCCATTAGTTTTTTAAATTAGGCTAAGGTGAACTCGAGCTCAGAAATGCAAAATAATAACTAAAACTCTTGAAAGAGAGAGAAACAACTTGGCCAATTTTCCAAAACATACATAATGATAGCTGTTTGGTTAAAAATCGAAGTTTAACCCCTCATCAATCCGGTAACTGCACCAGAATCTGAATCAAATAAATGATGGTTTAGGCAGCCTTAATGTTTTTTCTCGCACTCTTCTAACTTTCACCCCTCATTACTAGGGTTGGGCTCCTGCCTAAATGGCAAATATCTCAAATTGTTGGTGTCAACAGCGATTAATTAATGATGAATCATGAGTTTGTTCACCACCAATGCTTGACATTCTATTTCAATATGATGTTTAACAAGGAATTGCAAGAAAATATCCCGTAAAAGAATATTCGCTTTGAAGAGAATAAGCATTGTCAGGATGCTCCTGAAGATCACGTGTTCCAGATTCAATCGCCTACTGAAAATGCACATAAAGAAAAATTCCACTTGTATGTGCTGCTATCAGCAAATTGGGAATAAACCTCTAAGACTTGCCTCATATTTAGGCTTCTAAGAACCTTGCTCTAGCACTAGTCAGTGCTAACGATAGATATGTTCTTCTCAAGCCTATGTCATAGAGATAGGGCAGATAACAAGTTGATTTCAAACCGTGGTGAAAAAAGGGGGTTGGGGGTGTAAGGATCTAGCTCTAGCCCTAGTCAATGTTTAAAATTTTAAATGATAGATATGTTCTTCCATGCCTATTTTATAGAGTTAGGGAAGATAACAAGTTGATTTCAATTTGTGGTGGAAATTGGGGGTTGGGGTGGCACACGCCCACCTATATTTGAGAAAACCTTATGTCATTATGGATAATATTAAAATTTAATCATTAAATTCTCTTGCAATCATATATATTATAGAATCCCTTTGCCCTCATCTTTAAATTTTGGATAACCTCTGAAATCGGATTTCAGACTAGCCATCCTTAAGTCAATAACAAAATAGTCAAATTCAACAAAAATGAACCTCGACTAAATTAAATTAACATTTGAGTAACCCAAATTCAACACAATACCCAACCACCAACACAAAGAGAGGGTGAGTTTAGCAAGAGAGCCACTTATGTAGACAAAATTAATGTGCCAAAAAGATAATATAACATAAGACCACAAAGAAATGAGACAAGTTATTTTGTTTAAAAACCCTTCAACCATTACAAAAGATCTTCCCATCTAGTCTACAGAAATCTTATGTTCCTCAGAAGAAGTACCACAATAACTCATCCATAGGGTTATAAATAAAGGTACATGCAAGGCAAGCTTAGCCAGCAGCATCAATCTTCATAAAGAGTTGGGTTCTGTCTGATGATGATTGTGGTAATTAATGAATTATCATTTTTTTAGGATTAATTATGTTCAATTTCCGAGGGTCGGTGATTTTATTGTTAGTTGTAATTATTAAAAGGCTTTCATTTTTTTGCAAAAAGGTTGGGGCCTAGGCAAAACACTACCAATGTAAGCCCAAATTATGGTTCAATTGTAATCATTTGAGACATGTAAATAACTTGCGGGTTTTAGTGGTGATTTGAATTTTTGTTTTACGTCATTCTCTCGTGTCTTTAGCACCGGTTTAAAAATTGGCTTTCAAGACATGAATCGTCATGCTCCTTACAAACATCTTGATGGCTAATTCTTTAGCATCTTGTTCTAATTTGATGATAGCTTAATGAAAGAGTTTCTCAATGCTAATAATTCTACACTACAAGGATAAAAAGTTTATTTAACTCTTTCGCTAATCTGGTTGACAACACTCCTACCACTATAACTTGTACCCTAACTATAGAGAAGACTCCTCTTCTTCAAAAGAACATGACAACTTCAATTTCTCTTTCACAAGATATAACACTTTTGAGAATATTACTAATGCAAAGATGATCATTTGCTAAAGCCTTAACCCATGCTTCCCACGAGAGGAAAGCTTCTTCAATTGAGCCCACTCTAAAGGAATAAAATCACCAAAATATTTTTGGCATATCATCATTTAGCATTATTACAATTGAGTCCAAGAATAATGTCATCGAACATTTGGGCAAGGATACCCAAAAAGTCATTAGCATAATGACATTAGGAGTCAAATGAGTCTCAATTTGCATTTATGTTTATTTTTGTTTGGCGAGGGTGGCCATGCCTAACACTTCAACTGCCAACCAAAAAGGGACTCCCTTTAATGCAATCAAGTTAAACACTTTCCTACTTAAGCAAAAGGTAAACAAACTTGAAGGAAGTCCTAGAATTTTATGCTCAACTCGAAGAGAACCACAGAAGAAACTAAGCGAGGAATTTCCTTCAATAACTTTGGCCTTGAAAGGCTTCAGTACACCAATGCTATCTTAGGTGAGAGGCTTGAGAATGTTGAATAGTTTAACTAAGCACATTTGGTTCACCCATTTGGGAAAGGTTCATGTAAAGAATCTTAAATGGCACACTACACATCATTAAAGATTCATTGGACCCAAGCCACCTATTATAGACCCTAAACCAATGATTTCAAAGTTTCCTCTAATTGAAGATTTGAATGCATATACTTATATGTATGGAATGCAGAATGGAATTCAATTTGTCACCAATCGATATCTTGGAGTTAATGTCTTCAACAATCAAAGACTTATATCAATCTATCCCTACTATATAGATGAAATTAGAGCTCTTAAAGTGGATTGAATGATTAGGCTGAGCTACCATCACCCCTTGTTTTAAGGGAACATGATCAAGATGGCGTTTGCTCAAAAGGCATAGCATGTAGCGCTACGATGAAAAATGATCGCATTTTTTATTTATCTTTCCTAGCTGTAAAATTCTAAATTAAGGTTTATGAGGATCAACCACTTATGGCTTATCTTAATGTTACTTTTGTAAATGTTATGTAGACCCATTAGGAAACCTTGCTACTAATTATAATTCCTTGAGTTACAAAATTTCAAATGATTTATGCCCAATTCACAAATATGAAATCCATTGAACTTACTTGAGAATCTATAGAAACTTTAAGAAACCATAAGCATACTTAGTTCTCCAAAAAAAGGCCTTATGGGCACCACTTTGATTTTTTTTTTTTTTTTCTGTAAGGTTTATGGTTTCCCACCATTTAGGCTCTTCTATAAAAGAGGGAGTGAAAGGAAAAGTTATCTCAAACTTCTTCACAATATTTTTCTCCTCAGTTTCTATGCTCTTGAGGCACTCGCCATTGAGGCTTTTGGTATATTTGATTTTAATTTATTATTTGTTGAGATTATTGTGATAGAGCTTTCTTGAGTGATTTATGCAAAATTCCAACACAATTCATATTCAAGGATAATATTAAGGGGGGAGTTTATCAACGTCACTCTTAATGGAGAAATTTGGTTGTACACTAATCCATTCAAGACTAGTTTCTCACCCACTCTCTCAATCTATCATTGATACTTTAATCTAATATTGATTATCCAAGCACAAATAATCATGCTTTCTTTAGCAATCACCTTATTGTAATTTGAGAGCTCGAAGGAAGTCCCAGCCCATTCAACTTATTCTCATGATTTTTTTGAGTGAGAGAATGACCCTTCCATTTTCTTCCAATCCATCTTCGAGAACAAAGTAAAAGTCTATGGAATTCCTTTTTCAAACAAAGGGTGGCTGAGGATTTTTTTCCTTGTTACCTACATGGGCTAATGGTCAATTGCAACTCCCTCAGGCCATTCACTAACCTTTGACTTGAAATCCACCAAACTAGATGCAATGCTAAGAGCAGTTGAAATCAATAGCTAAGCTTGACTTAGATGTTCTTCATCTGGTTGGCATTCTTCCTAGTAATTGCTCTTTTTTTTATTTCTTCTTTTATCGCTTATTTTTTTAAGATCGTATATTTAAATTTTAATTAATATTTCTTTTCATGATCTTCTTCAAAGCCAACTGTTGTTGTTGGCCAAAGCAAGAAAGTTATTTCCTCCAAGAAACTTGATTGTCTATCATGGCTCTCACCAAGGATTCTGGCAAGGTAAATTTTCTTTTCTTTTTTTTTATTCTGGCAATGTCAATTCCTTCTTAAAAAAGAGTTGTGTTAAACTCCAATAAAAAGGAGGGAGGAAGTAGTCTTGCCAAAAATAAAGACTTATGTTGAACACCAATACAAAGAAGGGAGGAAAAGGACTTGCCAAAGATAAAGAATTGAGCTACTTAGCCACTTGGTTCAACCAAACCATGAGTATATCCCCTTCTTGGAAGCATAAAAAATTCCATCTGCATGAGACTAGTTTACTTTCCAACTCCTTTTAAAACATCCCATAACTCATGGGAACTAAACATCAAGATACAAGCTTTTCATAGTGCATCAAGTTCGACAAACCACACACCACGACTATTATTCAATGGAATGAAAATAAAATAGTAGGTTTATCCGATGATTTCATGGTCTTTCTTTTTTCTAGGCATCAATCTAAATTAGGGGTGCAAACGAGTCGAGTCGAGCTCGAGCCAGGGTGTGTTCGAGTTGAGATCGACTGCCAAATACCGAGCTCGAGCTCGACTCGTCTCACGAAACGAGTCGAGTCGAGCGGCTCGTCGAGCTGCATCGTTCCAGGCTACTACGTCGTCTCGAGCTACGTCGACCATCGAGGACTCAATCTCCGACCTTCGTCGTCCTGTCAAACTCCGTCGAAGGCTCGAAACCACGAGCTCGTCGTCCCAAGCCGTGAGTTCCGTCATCCCGCCAAGCTCCGACTAAGCAAGCGAGCTCCAAGCCTCCGGCCTCTACCGTCCTGAGGTGCGACCATCGAGCTCCGTCGTCGTCCTGAAATTGCACTAAAATCCATTTACTACAGCTTTTGCAACAATGAGTTCCCAAAACCAGCAAACTGTGCAACTTTCAACTAACGACTCACCTTGC